AGATAAAAGAATTGTTTCTATTGGTATACAAAAAATATAAAGGTTTATAAGTTTATATTAATTAGATATGTACAATACATTTTACTCTAGGTACAAGCTTCATGTTCGTGTAATGGACCAGACAGCTGAAATTAAACTCATGGGGTTTGAAAATAATGCAACCAAGCTTATTGGAAAATCTTCTGAAGAGTTAGTGGATGGATAATATGAAGAGGTTTTAAATATATATTGTCATTCAAGTATTAGCTATATGTCTATGGTAGGATGAAGAGTACTAATGTGAGACATGTCTATAGATTGAGGATCCTACGAACATACCTGATGTCATCACAAATTTGTGTGGAAAGACATTCCATTTTCTGGTCAATGTTGAGAAAGCCAATATTTATGGTGGTAAAGATATTTACAAAGTTACAAAGGTGCATTTGAGAACAGACATAGCCAAAGTAGAATCAGGTTTGCTTGAAAACACTCATTATGATCCATCATCAATTGGGTTTGAGGATCAGGTATGATCATATTCTCCTTAAAACAATTCAAACTGCTTATTAAGTGTTTGTATTGATAAAAAAACTATACTTCTCAATTTTTATTGTATAGGGTAAATTGATGTAGACTAATAGCAGCGAGAATTGTTCTGATGCTACAAACACTGAACTGTCTTCTCCTTCATCTAAGCGTGGTTCAGCTGAGTTGTCTGATATGGCTGATCAATCGATTACCACTAAGAAGTTATGCTCTAGGGTTAAGTCAGAAAATGGAGATGATGAGATTGGAACCAATGTGATACTAAAAAATGCTGATAAGGTTAAAGTTATTTCAGATGATGTTGGATGTCTACTGATAGAAGGAGTTGTTAAAGAGATTGAGTCACAGACCTGTAAAGGTAAAGGATCAACCAAAGTGAAGACATAAAGATACAAGGAATAAAATTAGTTAAGCATCACAGTTTTTTTTTGTTTTGGGTTTAATAAAAGTCAGATTTTTCTGACTTCGTTTATCTTTTTCAATAAGCATTAAGACATTTTCAATTTCAAAAACAAAATACATTTACATGTCTTGCTATTTGTTTGAGAGATTTTATATCTGGTTTTCACTATCTTTGTTCTACTATATATTTATACTTTTCATCCTAACTCTATTTTCTTATTGAATAGCAAATAATCGGCTTTGAAATTAAGGGAAACAAATGAAAACATCAAAAGATCTTTGAAATTTAAAAAAACAAAATTCTTGAATGGGATATTGAATAAATTTTGAAAAGTAAGATGTGTTATATCAAAAATATAATTGTTCAATCTGAATTTTGAAAAATAAACCAATGCAATGGATCTTGAAAACATCAAAAGAAGCTGTCTAAATTAAAAAAAGTAATCATTCATTGGCGAAAATTTGAAAACTCATTTCTGTAATAATTATTTTCGAAAAATTAAGAAGTTACAGTTATTGGAAAGATCAATAGATTATCTTCTTAGAAAGAATTACTCAGATAGAACACAATTGTATATTTATTCCTAGAATAGCATACATATTTTTTTTATGACTCACATGTTTTCAGTACTTGTGTAATTACAGTTAACACCCTTGATTAGTTTTAATTAAATATTATTTTTAATTCGTTTTTAACTAAAAATTAAATAAAAAAAACTGATTATACATGTCATTAACATAATCCACGTCATTACTCATCTGAAACCGTATAACGTTTCGGTTTCATTTCTTTTGGCATTTTACTGTTCATCAGCGAAAAAAAACCGGTCGCTTTCTTTCTCTCTCGACTTAACAAACTCTTTACCCTAATTCCTTCGCCGTTTTCTCTTTTCTCGTCTGTTCCAGCCGAAATTCTTACGCCGGAGTCGCATTTCTGGTATCGTGAAGTCACATCCCTGTCGCAGTCGCATTTGAACTGAACTTCTCTAAGTTCCGGTAAGTATGTTTCCAAACTTTATTTCGAATTTTCCGACAAGAATCCGACATCTAAGTTCAATCGCAAGTGATTCCCGTCAATGAAATCGTTTCCCGATGCTTAACGATGGTTTTAAACGATGCTTAAAGATGGTTTTTAACGTCGTCTTTGATTGACATATCGTGGCCGACTTGTTAGATCTATTTGATTTGATGGCTGAGTTACTGTTTGTTTGACGACTTATTTATGATTTATCAAGTCATTTGTGTCTGAGTTTGTTATATGCTGTGATTGAATTATAGTTTAACCTTACATCCGTGGATGAGTTTGTGTTATATGACGGCTGAGTTTGTTTATGTTATAGCTGAGTTGCTGTTATGTTATGGCTGAGTTTGGTTTATGTTTTGACTGAGTTGTTGTTATGTTATGGATGCGTTTTGTTTATGTTTTGGCTGAGTTTCTGTTAAGATGGCTGAGTTAGATTTATGTTATGGCTGAGTTATGTTATATGTGGCTGAGATAGATTTATGTTATGACTGAGTTATGTTATCTATGGCTGAGTTAGGTTTGTGTTTTGCCTGAGTTATGGTATATGTGGCTGAGTTTGTTTTATGTTATGGCTGAGTTATTGTATGCTTACGGCTGATTTATGGTTTATCAGATGTCTGAAGACCAAGCAAGGGATTACCCTCCAAGACTTTACCCAGAGGGGGATTCTAATCTGGAGGTTAAAGCCATTAATCACAACATAAAGCTCGGAGATTTCCCTGGAATTAAAGAATCAATAGGACAAGATCTATGGGATGAACTGAAAGAGACACCGCTTGGATTAATTGCTAAGCTTGTTGATAGTCATTTTGTATGGTCTGATAAGACTGTACATTATCTACTATGCAGACAGTTGAGAATACTGAAGAAGGAGCTTTGGTGTCTCGTGGCTGGTCAACCCATCCGGTTTGGATTGAACGAATTTTGCCATATCACGGGTTTAAACACAGATCCACTGCCTACAGAAAAGATGAGCCTGAAGCGGACTACAAAGCGTTTTTCAGGGAATTGGGTGTGCCAACCAGTGAAGGTCCTAAGTTAGAAGAACTTAGGCAAAGCTTAGTAATGTGCAGAGCATGGCCTCCTAAAAAGCGTAGATGGTTTGGGTTATTGACTCTTCTAGCCATTGGACTTTATGGCTTGCATCCTAACTCTAGGATACCATTTGAGAGTGCCAAAAGAGTCTTTGATGATGAAGCCATGAAGACTTATCCATGGGGTCGGACAGCATTTGAAGCCCTTGTTGTTTCTATAAAGTTGCTGAGACCTATTGGCAAGACGTACACCATCAGTGGTATGACTTTTGTGTTGCAGGCTTGGGCATATGATTCAATCATCACCAATACCGAGCAATTTGGGAACGTAGTCAAAGAGGATGAGATTCCGTTGCTTAGATGGGGTGGCAACCGTACCCGTGCAACAATAGAATCGACCATCGCTGAAGATATCAAAGCGCATGGTGGTGAGGTAAGGTTTTGGCTCTGTTATGATAGTTATTGACTTAGTTATGTTCTGTTATGACTGAGTTATGTTCTGGTTTTTATCAAATATTTATGTTACGACTAAGTTATGTTCTGTTTTTTGTCAAGTATGTTATGTGACGGCTGAGTTATGTTATATGACGGCTGAGTTATGTTATATGACGGCTGAGTTATGTTCTATTTTTGTCAAATATGTTATGTGATGGTTGAGTTATGTTCTGTTATGGTTGAGTTAAACATACTGATGGGTTTTATTATCACTTGTGTTGTAGCTGCGTGTGCGTAAAATGGTTATGAAAGCTGAGTTAAGCGAACTGTTTCATACTTGGCAAGACGAAGTAGAAGACCCAGCACTCGATCACTTGATCGAAGACATACACGAGGCTAAGCTTGTTAAAGGTTATTGGGATGTGAAGACGAATGAGAAGAAGAAGAAACTGGTTAAAGATAAAGCAGCGAATGTGTCTGAATCTCCCGCAAAGAAGTAGAAAGTATCTCACAGTGAGGGTGTTCAAGCTGGTGGAGGAGATGGACAAAAGAAGAAGAAGAATAAGGAAGTAGCTGTCAAATCTGATGAGGACGAGGACGAGCAGGATGTTCGTGGAGATGTGTCATTCGTGGATGTGGTGTCCAACTTAATCTCTCCCTTAAACTCACGGTTTGACACCGTTGATAAAAGCATCAGAGAAATCTCCTCCCGTCTAGAGGTGATTGGAGATCAAGTAGAAGAGAGGATTGATTCAAAGTTTGAAAGAAGGTTTGGATCCATTGAGAATGAGGTCAAACAGATGAAAGAGCATCTGAAGGTTCTAGGCGGGGTGGGCCTAACTGGCCAAACTGGCATAGCTGACTTAGCATTAAACTCTGGCATAGCTGACTTAGCATTAAACCCAAGAGGATCAAGGCCTCCCTAAACCCCAAAAGGTCCACAAAATCCTACAAATAACCAATTTGTTACTAGTCCTCCTCCGGTAAGCTAATTGCTGAGTTATTACTTATTATCTAGTTACGGCTGAGTTATCTTCATATTATACGTCTGAGTTTTAACTTTTATTTAGTTATGGCTGAGTTATCTTCATATTATACGGTTGAGTTATAACTTTTATTTAGTTACGGATGAGTTATATTTATACATAGGCCTGAGTTTTCGTTATTTAACGCCTGAGTTTTTTTTACGTTTATGTAGTCGAAAGAAGTTTTAGTTTCGGTGGTAGAGAAGGATGGTGATATTGCTGAGGTTGGGGTTAGTAGAAATCTTGATGGAGAATTTGCTAAGACCACTGATGTAAACAATGCTGATATTGATTTCATTGAGAAGTCTCCTGGTTCCCGCCGTTTACGCTCTACGACGACAGCGAGGAGAATTTCCAAAACGAAGACATCACCAAAGAAGAAAGCTACAAGGAGAAAACCTTAAATGAGCTAATCGTAAAAGAGCCAGCCGCCAAAAATAAAAGAGGAAGAAAGGCTACTACAAAGGCTCCTACAAAGGTGCCTCCAAAGGTGACAATAAAAATGCCAAAATCACCTGAGGAAGCCAAGGAAAAAGCTGACGGTGAGAGGGTAGATGATGATGATTCTATTCTTGATATTACTGACCAGTGGGTAGTTGAAGATAAAGATGAGGAGGCAGCATGCTGCCTAAATCTGATGAAAATGAGGAGGAAACCATGAGGCCGCAAAGAGTAAAAGCTGCTGATAACAATGTATTTTACTCATTTTAGGTATATGTTTAGCATCATTTATCTGTGCATTTGTTTATTGTATCATATCATTTTGCACCATTTTAGCTTATTTTGCATACTTAGGCATCTAGGATCATCTTGCATACGCATTGCATGTTTTGTTGTGTTTTCAGGTGCAGAAGGAGCTAAAAAGGATTCTACTCGATCCATTCACTCGATCCAGGCGGCTAGAGAAGAGGCATCATTTCACTCGACTTCTTTACTCGATCCAGGCAGCTACAGAGGAGGCTGCAATTCACTAGACACTCTTACTCGATCAAGGCAGCCTCAAATGAAGCAGCAGATTGATCTACTCGCCCCTCCTACTTGATCCTCTACTCGACCCATTTACTCGACCAAGGGTGACCAACTCTACAAGACTTTTTGAGCTATCAAAGCATCTTCGGATCCTCCTCATTCCCCATTCAACCAGACATCTGAGCATACAGATAGGAGAGGAAGAAACATCTACTCGACCAATTGATCACTCGGAGCATAGACACAAACGCGCAGACTTTGCAGCACCCTCTTTATTCGATCCCCAAGATCGAGCATCAGCCCAAACCGCCTCAAGTCTCTTGTTTTCTAGTTAATCTAGGGTTTCAACATTTTACTATAAATAGATCACTTTGGTTTTTTTTCAAAGGATCTAGCTTTTATCATTCAGTTTTTCTTTGTGTTCTTGAATCTTAATACCTTAATTATTCTTAATCTATTTCGTTTTTGCACTTAGTTCTCTGAGTAAAGTTGTTTAGCTTGTTTAGATCTACATTTTGATATGATTTCAGTAATTTCTGGGTTTGTGTTCTTGAGAAAGTTGCTTGAGTAGTGATTAGGGTTCTTGAGGATGGATTAGATTAGGGTAATCTCTAGGTTAGTTAGGTGGTTAAGATTAGGCCAGAACCATTCTGGATTCGCTTGGCCCCTATGCGGTTTTTGCTGGCTAATGTGGAGATTTGATCATAGACGTCCAACGTCCAAAAGACGTTCAAATGGATGTCTGATCTACGAATTCCACAGATTTCTAGACTCGAGCAAGACATTAGCTTGTGTGCTTATTGACTTTGGTAGTTATTTTTTAAACCCTGCTCTGCTATGTTTCATCAACGACAGTTGAGATTAGTAAGTGGTAGAGTTATGGGGGTCTCTGTCACGACAGTGGATTGACCCGGTTTTTGAATCTATCGTCGAGGGTATCTACCTTTCGCCTATTAGCCATCTGAAGAACCCTAGAGTTGCCCTTATCAATGAATCCATCCTTAGAACTTCTATTAGATTTATTTGTATCCCCTGTTGATTGCACTTTTATTTCCCTGTTATTTGTATCCCCTGTTGATTGCATTTTAGTAACTCAAATTTGTCACATGTTGGTTCTACTCGACCCAATGATCGAGTAGGGCTCTTAAGTTCTCATTTTTACTTGTTTGAATCCTGACCTAGGATTGTTACTAGAAACCCACCATCATTATAATCTGGCTTGACTTAGTTGCTTCTGTACACATCTTGATTGCTAGCAATAACAGTGGACTGGATTGACACCCCCTATAGCTGCATCAACATGTTAGTGTTTGTAGGGGAATTGAACTGAACCATACCCTTCAGCATTATAAGTAGGCCTAAAAACCTGCTTATCAATTACGCGTCGTTGCCAATTCATTGTTGGATTGTTACAATCAAGATATCAGAAAAAGTTAAGATCAAGTTCTTTTACATTTATCAAGTTACTAACTCATCTATCCGTTTGCTTGTTTTTGTGGTATAGGTACTAATCTTTGTGCATGCAAACTCGATCTAAAGGTTCTGCACACCAATTACCATTCAGAGACAGAATTGACAGAATAACTCGTGAGTTACAAGAAACCAAAGCAAAGGCAGCCTGTGATCAGCCAAGACCAGTTGCTATGGATCAACAGAACAAACCAGTTGATGTTCAAGACCCACCTAATGTTGATCAACCAAGAAACATTGGTGCTGGTGATGCCCCAAGGAATCATCACCAAAGACAAGGGATAGTGCCACCACCAGTTCAAAACAACAACTTTGAGATCAAGAGTGGTCTCATCTCCATGATCCAAGGAAACAAGTTTTATGGTCTACCTATGGAAGATCCCCTGGACCATCTTGACAGCTTTGATAGGCTCTGTGGCCGTACAAAGATCAATGGTGTCACTAAAGATATGTTTAAGCTCAGATTATTTCCCTTCTCTTTGGGAGACAAGGCACAACACTGGGAGAAGACTCTGCCCCCAGACTCCATCAACTAATGGGACGATTGTAAGAAAGCTTTTCTTGCCAAGTTCTTCTCTAACGCTCGCACCGCTAGATTGAGGAACGAGATCTCAGGCTTCACACAGAAAAACAATGAAACTTTCTATGAAGCTTGCGAGAGGTTTAAAAGCTACACCACTCAGTGCCCCCATCACAGTTTCAAGAAAGCTTCATTATTGAGCACACTCTATAGAGGAGCTTTACCAAAGATCAGAATGCTTCTCGACACTGCCTCCAATGAAAACTTCCTGAACAAGGATGTAGCAGAAGGATGGGAGTTGGTCAAAAATCTAGCACAATCTGATGGGTGCTACAATGAAGACTATGATCGCTCAGTGAGAGGAGCTGGAGGCCATGAGGATAAACAGAGCAAGGATATCAAGGCTCTGAATGAAAAGTTAGACAAGCTGTTGCTGGCTCAGCAGAAGCAGATACACTACATCACTGATGAAGAGCACTTCCAAATGCAAGAAAGGGGGAATGATCAAACTGAAGAGCTGTGCTACATCCAGAACCAAGGAGGGTTCAACAAGGGCTACAACAACTACAAGCCCAACCCAAACCTTTCCTACACAAGCACTAATGTAGCTAACCCCCAAGATCAAGTGTATCCACCACAACAGAACTAGTCTAAGCCTTTTGTTCAGTACAACCAAGGTTATGTCCCTAAACAACAGTTTAATGGAGGCTACCAACAGCAGAATCCACCACCAGGGTTCACTCAACAACCACAACAAGCCCCCGCAACTCAAGATCCTGAAATTAAGCAACTCATTCAATAGATCATTCAAGGACAAGCTACTAGAGCTATGGCTTTTGACAAGAAAATAGCTAAATTACACAAGAAGATCGATTGTTCTTACAACGATCCAAAAGTCATGTTTGAAGCTCAAAAATTCAAAAATCAAGTATGTGGAGAGTCAATTTGCATCAACCTCTGCTCCGAAGCATCCTTAGCAAATTTCACGGAAAGCAGTCCAGAATCCTAAGGACTATGCTACTGCAAATGCTATCACCATCCACCAAGAAGATGAGTCTCCACCAAGTCATCAAACTCCCAATACTGAGGATAGTATGATTCAAGAAGGGGGGGATTTAACTCAAATTGCTGCACCTGCCACCCAGCAATTCATCTCGAATATAGAGCACACACCTTTGCTGATTACTCAACATTCTGGAAAAAGTTCAAAATTGAAAAACTCAAGAAGGACCATAATCAAGAGATGATTAGCAGTGCCTCCACCCAAGAAACATACAAGAAGAAGGTCATCCAAGAAAAGCTTGATGATCCCGGTTCATTCACTTCTACATGCTCTCTAGGACCATTGACATTCAATAGGTGTCTTTGTCATTTGGTAGCATCTGTTAGCCTTATGCCTCTCTCTACAGCTAAAAGGCTAGGGATCATGGAATACAAGTTCTTCAACCTAGCTTTACTCTTAGCTGACGGTTCTGTTGCACATCCTCATGGTCTAATAGTAAATCTGCCTGTCAAGATTGGAAATATTGAGATACCTACAGATTTTGTGGTATTGGACGTAGATGAAGAAGGCAAGGATCCCCTGATCCTAGACAGACCATTCTTAGCTTGAGCTCGAGCAGTCATAGATGTCAGGAATAAAAAAAATTAATCTGAACCTTGAAAAAAGCTTCAGGGAAATCAACAACAGGAGTTCAGAACATGGATATTGATGAAGAAGCAGAAGCTGGAACCCCACCAAGAGTTAACTATACTTCTCAACTTAGCAAGCTGAAGAGGACTTTTAACCACAAGAAGAGAGCAACAGAAAGGCTAGCTCAGACTGAAGATCCTACAAAAGATGACTAGTATGAGATGAGGAAAAAATTTAAATGGCAAAGCAGAGTCATAGAGGGATTATTGTCAAGGGTGATGAAGCTCAAAGATCAACTATGGATGTTTGAAAAAGAGTTAAAAAATTTTCAAATGGTATTGATCCAGAGAAGATGGAAACTGCACTAGCTATGAAGGAGGACAAAAGTTTCACAACAGAATGGTTTGCACCAAAAGACCAGAAAGGAGTTCACTTAGAGGAAAGAAGCCTAGAGAGCAAGTTATTGAGTGAGGAGGAAACTCCTATTCCAACTTTTTCTCCAGGAGTGCCTAAACAACCCACCAACCCCTCTGCTGAAGAAGAAAACTTGATTCATGATTTTGTTGCTGAAGAACTCCTGGAACTCAGGATAGAATACAAAGCTCAAGAGGATACCATTGGAGAGCTAACTTACAAGATGGAAGGACTGAACCATGCAATCTTGGAACTTCAGGAAATGATTAGAGGTTACCCCAATTTTGAATTTGAGGATTGGTCAAAGGAGCCTGGTTCAGAAGAAGAAGACTACTCTGTTGATCAGAAAGAAGCTTACTTTGAAGAAAAATCAAATGAGTACTCATCCTACCGTATGTCAAGAGAGGATGCAGAATATGATTCAGGAACTGAAAATTCAACCACTGAAGATGAGGACTTTTCTGTTCCTCTTTTAAACCTTTTTTCTGACTAAGCTCTATAACAGTCAAGCTTAGTGAATTAAAACAAGCTCACTTGGGAGGAAGTCCCATGTCTATCCAGGTATATAACTTTCTATTTTTCTTGTTATTTTTGATGTTTTTGTTTAAGTGTTTCAGGTTTATCTCATTG